CGACCACCAGGTAACAATCTGTCGTTCTTCATTTTCGGGTGTGTCGTGCATAAATTTGAATCTCCGCGACAAATTACGAGCGTGATGATCCTGTCACGACCGCTTTCTCATCACCACCACTGCCATTTGCTTGCCTGTGCCCCACCACCCCCTCGCTCTCTTCCTGCGCGTCTCGCACCCTCGCTATGGCTGAAAAGGACCAAGAGAACGGTCACGGGTCCCTTCAGGTGAGTTTCCACTCTGTTCAGCCCCGAATTTTTGCTAACGACCCACCACCATCACCTCCCACACCCTGTGCCACGGCAAACGCGACCACCGCCCCCATTTAAACCCCCCCTCGCAAACGAAACCCTTGGATTATGACTAACCGCCCATGAAAACGCTCACAAAACCGCCCGAAAACCCACATAACCGCCCATCTACCCATGACGGCAACAACCCAGCACCCAGGATAAAGCACCCACGCTAACGGAATCGGCCCACGAAAATACCCCCACAGACAGAATCCAGCGCTGAGGCCCATCGACGAGGATCCAGCGCCACTTGGCGAACCAACAGGGGCACCCACCGTGCAGCCAGGTGTGTACCCCGCACCTCCCCACTAACTAACCCCGAATGACGGCGAAAACGCCAGCACCCTTTGCGACGAGGCCACCTCTGCGTCCCACTCGACCACAGCCGCCGGAACCACATACTGACACCCAGATGCGCCAACACTAGGCCGTTGACATTGAGGATTCTTGGTGGGTTCATTCCGGGGTCGCGAGGTTGCTCCCTCTCTTAAAATTTATGTATAACTTTGTATAGTAAGTAGTTTAAGGAATAAAACTTATAATCCTAAATTTTACTTGAGCATGGAGAGGCAGATTTCGACTTAACCACAGAATCTTTGGTGTATGATACATAGCTAATTTCCGTCACACATCAAAATTTCATTTTCTGACAATCCAAAAAGGGCGGAATCAATCGAGATAGTATGGTATCATGCGGATAAGATTCGACACACCTTCCTGAACAAGTGACCGACATTTGCCATCAAATGTGTTGAACGTTGGACAGGTGTGTCGTTCTCCATCACGTGTGTCGTGTCTCATTTCTGTGTGTGTGTGTCGACTCTTGTCCGTCCTGCATTGTCGTCTTGGCCAATCCAAACGATTCAAGTGCCACGTATATACCACAATTGTCTCATTGAGCAATACGCCAGCTTCACCATGCCATCTCTATGCACCTGTTGTTGTCTTGGCCAGTCCAAACACTTCAACCATGTTCGTCTTGTGGAGTAATTCACTGGGTTCTCCAATCCCAGCATTTCCTCTTCATTGCACGCATGCTAAGCGCCAAGATCCAAGCACATGGATTCAATTACCATCAACTGTGTTGTGGGGGTGCCACCATTGAACAGACTGGTGTTAAAGGTGTGAAGGGTACCCACTGCTATTCTACTACTTGCACACATGTAGTAGTATCAAAACAAGTCTACACTGAAGGGAATCAAGCCACAGGAAGGTCTTGGCAGAGTTTAGCATAAGTTCAAAAGACACAAAATTACAAACAGACGTACCTCCACAAAGGGTCAACAGATTCATAAGCAGTTTGTTGGAGTGTTTTCAAGATGTGAAGTAGTGTCCAAATGAGTCTATGTTGAAGGAAATTGAGCCACAGGAAGGTCTTGGGCAGAGTTCACCATAAGGGCAAAAACATGGAAATACAAACTGACATACCTCCACGAAGGGATGACGGATTCATGGATGGTTTGTTGGAGCATTTTTGGGACGTGTAGTAGTATCAAAATGAATCTACGCTGAAGGGAATCGAGCCACAAGAAGGTCCTGGGCATAGTTTATTACAAGTCCAAAAAACATGAAATTACAAACAGACGTACCTCCACGAAGGGTTGATGGATTCATGGATGGTTTGTTGGAGCATTTTTGGGACGTTAGTAGTATCAAAATGAATCTACGCTGAAGGGAATCGAGCCACAAGAAGGTCCTGGGCATAGTTTATTACAAGTCCAAAAAACATGAAATTACAAACAGACGTACCTCCACGAAGGGTTGATGGATTCGTAAACGGTTTGTCGGAGCGTTTTCGGGACGTAAGGTAGTATCCAAACGAGTCTACGTTGAAGGAAATCGAGAAACAGGAAGGTCTTGGGCAGAGTTTAGCAGAAGTGCAAAAACACGAAAATACAAACAGACGTACCTCCACGAAGAGTTGACGGTTTCGTAAACGGTTTGTCGGAGCGTTTTCGGGACATGAAGTAGTATCCAAACGAGTCTACGTTGAGGGAAATCGAGGCACAGGAAGGCCTTGGGCACAGTTTAGCAGAAGTGCAAAAACACGAAAGTACAAACAGACGCATTGCCCGAGGAGTGACGTACTTCCCCTTGCGGGCTACCTTCCATTTTGAAGGTAGCCCACTAGGGAAGTACGTCATTTTCGGAAATTTCTGTGACTCAACTTGTGAGTCGTTCCTTTTGATGTGGAATATTCACCATTACATCAGCAAAACCTGATTTTCCCACGTAGACAGGCATAGTGCTTCCGCTAATATCATAGTTTCCCATAGTTACACGCCAAGTTTGGCTAGATGCCCTAGCGCTCCACAGCGCTCCACAGCACTGTGTGGGTGTAAGCTTGTGCTATACAGCACTACAGAGACTTGTGCCATTACTATAGGGTGCTATAGAGGGGCCTCCACTTTCTACCCAGCCCTTATAGGGAGTCAAACTACAAGTATACTAGATTTCAGTAGAAAACACATTCCCTATTGTATATGAATAATTTATGACCACAATACGCCTGGAATAAGAAGAAAGTACAACACTGTCCAGAGATTGATTGACCTACAAAGATTGCAACAAGAAAGAATATGAAGTATCTTTTGCAAAACATATTCGTCTTTTGTGATTTTTTTTGCGTTGGAAAGTGGTGTTCAAGCCGATTCCAACGCATCTATTTACGTAGTATTTAATTCAAAACTCAAATGGCTTTGGACCAATTACTGGTGAAGAATCTGCCTAAAAATGGTAAATGTTATCGGAGGTCGCCTTAAACGTCGAAATATTAGGGGCTCTTAGACCCGTTTTAAAGCTCTAATTTGTGCGTTTCTGACAAGCCCAAAATCGCATGAAACGGAGCAGAACTCATGATGATAATATATATTTCAGATGTCTAATACAGGCCAAATAGTTTATGCTACAATTTGTGAGGTACTCCAAATTTTTCAGTACTTTACACTCCCACTGCTTGTCCGACGGACTTTCATCGGACCCTGCCATTTCCGATGGACTCAGCGGACAGTCCGTTGGAAGTCCGTCGGAGTCCGTTGGAAATGGTTGGATTCCGCTGCTAGTCCAGGCAAAGTCCAGTGAAAGTCTGCTCAAGCCACTTAGAAGCAAGAAATGGTTGGACTGGCCGGATTTTGTGTCCGTTGGACGTCCGCTGGACTTCCGCTGGATTTCCGATGGACAGAGGCAGAAACCAGTAATACTTGCTAAGTCATCAGTTTGCTGGACTTCTGCTGGACTTCCGACGGACTTCCGATGGACTTCTAAGCAAAAAAGGTACATCAGAGTGCTAAGTAATCAGTTTGCAATTTTTATAAGTGTACATTTAATAATTCAATAGTGGGGTTTGAAACTTGTTAAGTAGAGTTTATATACATGTTTTGCTTACTCAGCTTCATCATCTTCAGTATCATCACCTTCCTCTTCCTGCATCACTTTAGCTGCTTTTTTGGCTTGGCGGGCAATAACTTTTCTAGTGTGATAAGAAAGCATCGTGTGAATAAACCAGTTGTAGTTTTGAGGTGTCATTCTCTTGAGGACTGATTCAAAACCTCCAAGCCATGCATTGAGTTGTTCACAGGCCTATTATTGGTTTATTAGTTTATCAATATTACAAAGATTCAAATTAGGTTTACCTGAGTATTAAATGCTCGTTTGTCATATGTTGATCCATCAGAAGCTATGGCTTTTATAACTAAATTTGGAGCAGACCCATCTGTGGGAGCTGGATTACACCATTTTCGACAAAGAACATCTTCTTTCCAATGTTTCTCATAGTGGAAAGTATCAACTATCAATCGTGTTGTTTCTGACCACTCATCCCAGTGACCTTGTGCAGCCATATGTTTAAGCACTTTACAAGCTTTATCAATGCAAATATAATCTGGACGTGATTCCTTTGTAGGATAAACCTTCTTCATAAAGGCCAGAATGTTTGACTCTGACTCTGATTTGGCAAATTTTGCCCATGCTTCAACAACACCACATGGACAACAAATTGTTTCAACACAATAAAATGTTGCAGGACCAAAAAAGTGCTTTAATTTTTTGGGTTCTGGAGCTGGCTGGTCATGTGGCTGAACTTCACGCTCAGATCTAGGATTCCACTCTGGATTTTCTTGCTGGCGGTTCAACATTCTTTTTGATCCTGCCAAACTTGCAGCTGAGTGATCCAGCAGGTATTTATTCCAAACACTTTGATGAGCTGCACAGGCCTTTGTGGGGCGAACCAAGGTCTCTGTGCAATCTCTAACACGACAGCGATTGCCAAACTCATGTTCATGTACTCGACACAAGGCACCTCCTCGATAATTAAGTAGATCACCAATGCAACCATCAGCAGCACAATGCTTTGTGCCATTAACCATTCCATCAATTACTCTCATGGTTACATTCCGCATCTGAACTGTGTTCTGTGCAGAAGTGGAAGGATCATTA